TATATATATACTGTTATTCCCCTCTTATTTCTATATCTATTCTTTTATTCGTGTCACCATAATATACAAAGACATTTCTTTTCTGTCTTCCATCTTTCACCTGCTTTATTAATCATATTTCCCTTATTTAACTCTTCACCTCTATTTATATTAAAGTTTCATCCTTCATTCTTTCATTGTTCAGTGCTTCAATGTACAATTCTAATACCAATTACAATATTATTTAAACATGTAGGGTAGATCTATTCATATTTTTCCCATTCATCAAATCCATATAATTCTGCTATTAATACACATGCTTACATTAAAATATATTCTTTCACTTAACTAATCACTCATTGTTTGATTTTATCCTTTCACTGCTAATTATTATATTTTTAGGCATGTATAATAATACCATTATTCAATCTCTAACTTTCCAATTAATACTTAATTCTTATTCATAATTCCAATATTTCACTCTTTGTATCTATTTGTATTAAAATATCCTAGTGTTTATCACAATACATGCAAAATAATTATCCAATATTGAGGAACGTTGTTGACTAGTTTGTGTTAAGGTGTATCAAGAGATGAGGAACATAAAATAATCCAAGCAGTAGCATAACAATACATAATTTTGAATTACATTTTGATACAAATTTAATTTTAAAACAGGTTTAAAAATAAAGACGACTGTCAATCTCAAATGAAGCTAGTTTATTCACTGGTCCATGCTTTCAGAAACTTTGAGAATCAGAGCTTTAAATGCTGTGGGCCTAATATTCTTTGAGGTCCTATGCTTCCTCAGAGAATCAATTCTGTTCACTCTTCTCTCCCAGCTCACAATTAATGAGGCTGCTGCTCAGTTCTGTCTACGAGACAATTCACTGCTGTTGCGTCGTGTGGAATTGTTCTCACTGTCACGTCAGGTGGCTCGGGAGAGCAGCTATCTCTCTTCACTGAAAGGTTCTAGGTAAGACTCAGATCTTGGCGGTTTTCTTAGCAATGGGAGGTTCTCGAACTGGACTGTAATCTCTTGAACGATTGTTGATAACCTGTTGGGAAGGTTCTCGGTGGGCAGAACAAATTGCTGTTGCTTTTGGTCATATCTTTACCAACAGTCATCCAAGTCAGGATTGTCCCAAGGGTATTTTTTTCAAGAGGCAACTATCTGTTTTTTCTTTGAAGGCTTTTCGCTTCTTGAAGACACTTTTTCATCAAGAGCTGAAGAAGCTTCTTGGGTGAAAAGCGAAACGTCTTCAAAGAAAAACCAGAAAGCCCAGTTGTCTCTTCAAAAAGCACCTTGGGGGGTATCCCTTTCAGGTTGCGTGAAGAAACTTAATTTGAAATACCTTTTGAAATGTCCCCAAAAAACAGGTAGATAAATAAGGCATTTTGCATGTATTCCATCTGACCTTGATTCCTATATTACTGAGCATGCTGTCAAAAATAAGTGCTAGATGTGACGTATGCTAAATTTTGATACGAAGCGATCTCTGCTAAGCTGTAGCTAAAGTAAGATTTGTCCACCTATGTTAATTATCTGCCCACTAATGCTAATGAATACAGGTAATTATCCCAAGAGTATCTCAGGCAATCAAAAAATAATCCTTGTATTATTAATTTGCTACTTCTTTGTCTTTGAAATTGGTTTCACCAAAAAAAGAAATCATCATCAAACGGTATAGGAATAATCCTGCATGAACCTTGAGTTTTCATGTTTTGATCCCCAACTTTTGTATCTGAAAAACAGCTCCAAAATTTCCGTTTTGAAACCACGTCCCGTTAAAGCTGAAATTTGGGGGTCTAGATTTTTTACGTATTTGTAATTCTAGTATATAATTCCTGTAATTCATTTTTATTCTAATGTTTTAAAAAGTAAAATAAAAAGTTTCTGCTTTGACTTTTGAACTAATCACTTTCCTTTTTAAAGGTGAAAATTGAGAACTAGGATTTGTGTCCGACTGTGATCACTTATTAAATAAGGATGTAAAATTGTAACATCTAATCTGGGTCGGTAAATGGGACCAGCAGTTTACTCTTTCAAGCTTTTGGCCACATATCCCGGTGGCCGAGACAGATTGGATCTTGCAACATTATCCTGGAACACTTACCGTATTTTTCAGAGTATAAGATGCACCTTTTTCCCTCAAAAAAGAAGCTGACAATCTGGGTGTGTCTTATACACTGAATACAGCATTTTTTGCCTCCCCAAACCCTGCCCCCTTCACCAAAACGGCCATGCATAGCCTTTAGGAGGCTTATAGAGTGCTCCTGGGGGCTGGGGAGGGCAGAAATGAGCGAAAAGGGCCATTTTCTGCTCAATTTCCCCCTCCCCCAGCCCTCAGGAGCACTCTATAAGCCTTCTAAAGGTTATGCATGCCCTTTTTTTTGAAAACAAAAGGGCCCATTTTCATGAAATGGGGAGGTCTGCAGAGTGCAAAACTTTTTTTTTTAATTTGCCTCTTCAAAATCTTGGTGCGTCTTATACTCTGGTCTGTCTTATACTCCGAGAAATATGGTATATTTGCCTTCATCCATATAAAATTACACTTTCACACCATTTTGAGTAGTATGGTTGAAATAAATCTCAGTATCCTGATTTGAGCAACCATGTGAAATTGCAATTATTTCTGCAGAGAAAGAGAACTATTCTCATAAATATGA